TGCAGTGGACGTCCATGTAGAACATAACAACGATATTTGATGTGACCAATTTTTCCACAATGGTTACACCGTTCGCGTTGTCGTCCCAAAGGAGGACCGGTGGTAGTGCTCTGAACTGACTGGGATGATGAAGTTCCTGAAAGGTTGGGAATCCAAACTGCTATAGCAGAACGATCAACAGAAGCAACACCTAATGGATGAGTCCGGCGGCTCTCATTTGACAACACATAGGAGTATGCATCCTCAAGAGTAGGGAATGAAGATAAGCCCAATAAATGAACACGAGCATACTCAAACTCGTCGTTCAACCCGGCAAGAAACTGAAACACTTGATTCTTCTCCACAATTCCTGCATATAAAAGTGCATCATCTGGATCCTTCCAAGAGTGAAAGGAATCATACTATGACATCTCCTCCAAAATAGCATGAAGCTTGGCGATGTAACCTGAAACTGCCAAGTCACACTGAGAAATCCTGGTGATATCTCGCCCCAACTGGAAAATTCGTGCATTATTCTGCCTCTGAGAATAAGTGCGTTGAACTGAATCTCAAATTTGCTTAGCAGTCTTCATAAACATATAGCCAACAGCTATATTTGGTTGCATTGAATTGACTAGCCAAGACATAACATAACGTTATCTGCAAACCACTGTGGATATGCATTCTCTGACTCAACTGGCTCTTTCTCAGAACCAGTAATATAGCCAATCTTGCCTTTGCCACCAATGAACATTTTGGCAGACTGTGCCCAAATCAAATAGTTGGAACCATCCAACTTCACTGTGGTGATTTGAAGTCCTGGATTTTCTGATGAGTTAGTGGGAAAAATGGCACCATCACCCACAATATTAATAGTCGATGACTCTGAATCTGTCATAATCTGTCACACGACAATAAAAAAACTCCAAAAACACCACAAATTCTGTTATTAAAACAAAGGGTCTCCTCAGACCATAAACAATAACAATGTCTCCTCGGACCATTCTTGAAAAATCCAAATACATGCCTTTTTTAAGGAGTGCTGCCCGCTTACATATAGCCAAACAGCCTCCTTCTTAATATCCTGAACCTCTTTGTAGACGATTTTTTTTTTACCCAAGCCATTTTAGGTGTTGGAAACCAACTATCCCAATTTACCCAACCCTAGAAGAGTGAAAAAGATATTGCAAAACTTAAAAATACCTGTTTTCAATCACAAAACAGCAGCACAGAAAAACATGTGTAGGCAACGTCACACGATGTCACAAACAACCTAAGGTAGCTGCCGCACAAGTAGCAAGGCTGCTGAAAGGTGTTGGCTCTGATACCAAGAAGAAATATATAAAAAGAAGAGAAATGAAAGAATTGCGTAAAGGCTTGAATGATATAAATTACTCATTCACAGCTCTAGTATTTATAGATAAAATGAGCACATGCTCATATTACAAGGAAACTAAATCAAATCACAACTTATTCTAAAGCATATTCTATGGCATATTCTATAGCATAGTCAAATCTCTGCTATTATGGTAAGTCATACCATAAATCGTGGTATCATATATGCTAACATATGCATAGTCAAATTTCTGCTATTATGGCAAGTCATACCATAAATCGTGGTATCATATATGCTAACAGAAAAAGATTCGGAACAAAGCCGGTAAATGGTCGGAACTAAGTCGGGAAATAGTCGGAACAAAGCCGAGAATTGCCGGAACAATGCCGGGAAATAGTCGGTCACCTCTTCGGAGCGTTGACTACCATCGGTGAAGGAGGAGCACGTATAATGGGAGTGAGATCTACTTGCAGGAGTGTGCGTCGTGTGGACGTGTGAAGCGCAAGTCAAATCTGCTTCGCAGGAGCGTCAACACGTGATGTCATTTGGAAGCGCGTGGTTGATCGAAAAAAGAAAACAAAGAGAGATCTGAACTAGAAACGGATCAAATTTTATTGGTTTTCTCCTTCACTGTTCTCTGCAATCAGTAAAGGAAAGAAAAAAAAAAAATGGTAGAGCTCCAAATGGAGCCACAGAGAAGACAACGCAAACTTTGGTGCAAATGATCTAGGATCGTTGCTTTGATACCATGTTAATTTTAGGATGCGGAAATATAAGATGTAATATAGGAAGATGAACACAGTATATACATCGTTCGGCACTAAGGCCTTCATCCATGGATCAAGAGACACTGAGGCTACAATTCTCTTATTGCTTGTATTTCTGGATGTGTTTACATTGTATTGATACACAATATATAGGAGATAAAGTTGCAGACAAAAAGAATAAATTAAGGAGTAAATCAAGGAAGACAAAAAGGGAAACGAATATAATATATATGTATAATATATTATACATATATATAAGGAAAGAAGGGAAACAAAAGGAATAAATCAAGAAGGAAAGAAAGGAAAACGAATATAATATATATGTATATATATATATATATATATATATATATATATATAGTTTGTGTACCAAACACTTAATTCCCATCCAAATATCACATATTTCACTCTGGATCAGTCCAACAAGTCCGCTAAAACCATGTGCATATGGTAGTTCATAGGCAGTGAGTTGAAACTAGGAAATTAATATGTGCATGTAAAAATATATACAAGAAAAGCATTCATATGATATTCAAAGAAACTTAAAATGATGATGTAAATAGAGGGATGGGATGATTTGGTAACATACCGACAGTGGCCGATTCGGATGTCCTATAACCTGAGGAATTGCTTTTGCTTAATTGTATTATGGTTTGGCCAATTCCATCTCCCAAGAACACAACACTTCTCTCTACCCACATGTACTTCTTCATTGTAAATTCCTCGCTTGATGTAAATGGTGTATGTGATTGAACTCGAATTGGGTATTGCAGAAACAAATCCTGAGATGGTGTTGTAGTTTCCACTCCCATCCATTAACACCACAATTGTGGTGTTATCACTTGAAACAAAAATTGGAATGGCAAGAAACCAAAAAAAACAAAGTAAACTCTTAGACATTTTGAAGATTGATAAAGCTTGATGAAAGTATGCGCCACCAGCAATAGAGTTTGATTGAGCAAATGGAGGATCAAGGAGGAGAGTGTTCGTCCTTTACTCCACTGATCTCTACATTCTACTTGTGCGTCACTCTGTGTGATATATTTTTTTCAATCAAACTCTAGGATCAAGGAGAAGAGTGTTTGTCTTTTGCTCTACTGATCTCTACAGCCTACATGTGCGTCACTGTGTTTTTCCTGATGTGTAAGTTTTAGGCTTTTAGCTATGATGGACAGTCAATTATAAGTTTTCAATGTATAAATACAAACTTTATTGCATTAGTTTTGGATGTTTTAATTTTCTGTATTCCATATCAAGGGCATGCTTGTGATTTTTATTTAGTTTTTTGTGCTTTTTAGTAGGATTGTGATGGAGATTCAATTATCAAGTGCATGCTTGTGATTTTTGTTTAGTTTTTTTGTGCTTTTTAGTTGGATTTTGATGGAGAATCAATCATAAGTGCACTTTTCAGAGTAAAACCAAGGAAATGAGGGTTATCCTTTTATGGTTATACTTCAATGCATCTTCCTCTGCCAAGACCCTTTACTATCTGATTGCCAGATGGCTTGGTGTGGTGATATTTCAAGAGCCGAATTGTGTTACAGCAATCAACCACTAAGTGCTTCGCTAAATATATTAGAACATCAAGTTATTGAATAAAGGTATTTTAGCTAACTTGTATATAACTACTCGCTAAGGCATTGTGTTCTAACATGTATATATCTACTTGCTAAGGCAAACTTGATAATTTCGCAGTCTTTTTGTATTTATTAGATTATACTAGAGAGTATTTATTCTCAAGTGTTTGCATAAATCTCTCAATAGGTTTATAGTTGAACACAAAACTTTTAATTGGTAAATTTCCATGTACACATATGTAATCGAATACAAACCAAATTGTGTGTGTTTATATATATATATATATATGTCCATGTGAGTGAGTGAGTGAGTGTTGATTAAATATATATATATATATATATATATATATATATATATATATATATATAGGTTGTGATGCTTTCCTAGAATATATATGATTTCCTTAAATAATAGAGAAGCTAAAAATCAGAACATAGGAGTAACAGTAATCACCCAAAAAAAAAAAAAAAAACATATCAAACATATCATACTTGCACATCATAAGAGTGCAAGACTCATAGCTAAAACTTACACATCATGAAAACATATCATACTTACCCAAAAAAAAAGACATATCAAACACATAGTGACACACATGTAGCGATCAGGACATAAGACAAACCTCCTCCTGCAAATTGTAGTATTTCTTGATCCTCCATTTGCTCAATTATCATGGAGCACTTAGTGGTTGATTGCTGCAACACAATTCGACTCTTGAAATATCACCACACCCAGCCATCTTGCAATCAGATAGTAAAGGGTCCTGGCAGAGGAAGCTGCATTGAAGTATAACCATAAAAGGATAACCCTCATTTTCTTGGTTTTACTCTGAAAAGGGCACTTATAATTGATTCTCCATCAAAATCCTACTAAAAAGCACAAAAAAACTAAATAAAAATCACAAGCATGCACTTGATAATTGAATCTCCATCACAATCCCTACTAAAAATCACAAAAAACTAAATAAAAATCACAAGCGTGCACTTGATATGGAATACAGAAAATTAATACACTGAAAACTAATGCAATAAAGTTTGTATTTATACATTGAAAACTTATAATTGACTGTCCATCATAGCTAAAAGCCTAAAACTTACACATCAGGAAAAACACAGTGACACACATGTAGGCTGTAGAGATCAGTAGAACAAAAGACAAACACTCTTCTCCTTGATCCTACAGTTTGATTGAAAAAAAAATATCACACAGAGAGTGATGCACAAGTAGACTGTAGAGATCAGTAGAGCAAAAGACGAACACTCTTCTCCTTGATCCTCCATTTGCTATCAAACTCTATTGCTGGTGGTGCATACTTTCATCAAGCTTTATCAATCTTCAAAATGTCTCAGAGTTTAATTTGTTTCTTTTGGTTTCTTGCCATTCCAGTTTTTGTTTCAAGTGATAACACCACAATTGTGGTGTCAAAGGATTGGAGTGGAAACTATAGCACCATCTTAGGAGCTGTTTCTGCAATACCCTATTCGAGTTCAATCACATACACCATTTACATCGAGTGAGGAATTTACAATGAAAAAGTACATGTGGGTAAGGAGAAGAAAAGTGTTGTGTTCTTGGGAGATTGAATAGGCCAAACCATAATACAATTCAGCAAAAGCAATTCCTCAGGTTATCAGACATCTGAATCGGCCACTGTTGGTATGTTACCAAATCATCCCATCTCTCATTTTACATCGTCATTTTAAGTTTCTTTGAATATCATATGAATGCTTTCCTTGAATATCTTTTTACTTGCACTTATTAATTTCATAGTTTCAACTCACGGCCTATGAACTACCATATGCACATGGTTTTAGCGGACTTGTTGGACTGATCCAGAGTGAAATTTGTGATATTTGGATGGGAATTTAGTGATTGGTACACAAACCCATTAATTAACACACCCAAACCCCATATCATGAAGTTGGCTCAGGATATAATTCGTAATTATATCCTAAAGTCATCACAGCAACAGAAGCTAATCACCCTGATAACCACATTCAAAGGCCGTGTTAAATTGCAATGGTCTCTGTTAAATTATAGGACTTGATCATGTAGTTTAGCTTTTGACCCAAAAAAAATAAATAAAAACACATTCAGAAGCTATTGTTTAATGAAGGTAAAGAACTGAATGCTATAATTTAATGAAGGTAGAGAACTGAATGCTATAGTTTAATGAATGTAGAGAACTTGTTAGAAATGTAACAGAATCCTGTAATATTGAAGTGAGAATGCTTATGTAATAAATTGCTTAAGACCTTACATGTAGCTTCAACCCTCTCCGTTGAATGGCTACCAGTACTTGTAATAAATTGCTCAAGACATAGGTTGTTACATATAACTTTTATCCTCCCTGTTAAATGGTAAAGAAAGAAAGTGAGGAGATAACAGAGGAATATGGTATTAGTTTCGTTACTACTAATTGAGGGTTGGATTAATTTTTTTTAGGAATGATCCAAAAAACTTAATGGTTTCTAGATCTTAAAATATTTCTAAGGGTAATTGAAAGATACACAATAGTGACCATCAGTCTTCCAAGTAAATACGTTGTCCTTAAGAGAAATTTACGTACAAATTTCAATGTAAATGTTGATTTTCAAATGTTAGGTTCATCTTTTTGTTACTACTCTTTATTCATAATCTTTTTTTTTTTAAATTTAATTTTTTTTTTTTTAATTTTTTTTTTTTTTAATTTTTTCTAGCTTCTTATTTGATCTCATTTAGATAACTATTTCCTGATGAAAGCAATATATGAATAATCAGAATTATATTCGTGGTCCATGTCTTAATTTTGCCAGAAGACGGTCACAATAGCTACCACTAAAGCAACAATTTATTCACAAAGAAGTAGACCAACCATAGTTTGTGTATGACAAATAGAATCTGTAAGGTGAGGTGCTTGATTAAGCTGTTTTTTCATATGACATCACAAGTTCAGTTTCTCCCATGTCTCTGCAGCTAGTATTCATCCAAAAAGCATTAAAATAAATTGTTGCCCAGGGCAAAAGCAAAAACTTACAGCTAAACACTGCAAAAAAAATACTATGTCCAATATAACAAAATACAAAGCCCAGTAGAGGAAGAGACGTCTCACGCGATTTTGGATTACTCTTTGAAATTCTAATAATTATATATAATGGACTTCCTTAAATTTTAAGTTATAATTGGGGTACGAGAATCATCCGAGCTAGCAGGAGGCTCTGTATGATTTTCAATATGACAATAGCTTGATCTGGGTGCTGATACTGAGTGAAATAGTGCAAATTTGTCAAGGCGGGAAACATTTAGCAAAGGCAAGAGAGATGCTTCGCTACCTTACATAATATTGTGACATTTCATTTGATCTGAAAGAAATGTGATTAATTGATGTAATGTTTCACTTACTTATTAGACTCAGTGCACTGTAGAATCATAATCCATCTGACACAATGTGTATATTGTTTACATGCAGGTATAAAAGCAGTACATTTTGTAGCAAAGCACATCAGCTTTGTGAATTCTGCCGGAATCAAATACCAGACAGGCAGTTTCTATTAGAAATGGAGTCTCCAATGATGCATACTACAGGTGTTCCTTCGAAGGATACCAGAACACTTTGTATATGGTTTTGGGCAGAAAATTTTTCTATGAATGCAACATATATGGAACTGTAGACTTCATATTTGGTGACGCAGCCATCATGTTTCAGAACTGCAACATGTATGGAAGAAATCCCGGCAGATTCGCGGGATAAAGCGATGGGACACACTGGAATAGTAATTCAGAATTGTACCATTACAGCGGCACCAGAGATTGGACACTCGAATTCTTCCAGAGCATTTCCTGGACGCTCATGTAGAGAGTATGCAAGAACGGTGGTGTTGGAGTCTTTCCTAGGAGATATCGTAAAACCTACTGGCTGGTCACCATGGGGTAACAGCTCCAGATTGGATCTTTTGTCCTATATTGAATATAACAACAGGGGTCCGGGAGCTGAAGCCAGTGGCCGGGTAAAATGGACAAGTTTTCAAATTATAACCAACTCTACCCAAATCCTACAATTTACTGCTAAAAACTTCATCAATGCAAGTGATTGTTTACCTTCAATTGGTATACCATTCATTCCGGGACTTATTGGAGGTTAAAACTAATGTAATTAAAATTATATGAATAATAAATGACATAGATAGAAAGGAAAAGTGAATTGTCTTACCAAATGTAACTGACTGGCTGGCTTGAGGCTCTGTTGGTTGCAACTGGTTTTTTTTTTTGTAACTTTGCTATGTTTTTTGTAACTGTTTACAAATCTTTGGTCTGCTTCTTGCGACTGGATTTTTAACTTTACTCAGTTCATGCCTTCACTCGATTAGATTGATGATATCATACTTAACAAAACCATAGATGAAAGTATGTTGATTATGAACATATATGTTAATGATCTTATTTTTAAATCAACGAATGAGAAATTGGGCAAAGAAGTTAGAAAATGAGAATGATAGGTAAACTTAGTTGCTTCTTAGGATCGAATACCATCTAAGTACCATTAAAAGAATTTTTATACTCTTATTAGGTAGTTTAGATTTGGGATTATGGTATCCTAGGTATAATTGTTTTAATTTTGCTAGATGCAAAGTAGATAGTAGAGTACGGGTAAAAGTTGCTATATTCACTTGTCTCTTAGACTAGCTAATATATTAGATTCCGTTTAGAGGAGAATTAGGTGTGACTAAGATGTGTGACACAAATCAAGTAGTATTATGTGTAAACATGTGGTTCATAATTACAAATACGTGAATGTTTGTAAAGTAATATATCTTGTTTTGATTAATGTGTAATTAAGTATACTTGTACATAATTATGTTATGATCTTTGTAGTTGTGTGCTCATTATTGATCAAAGTTTTACGTCTAGGATAACAATTAACATAAATTAGGAGAGTTTAGGAATTACCAGGATTGATGATCTTAGTTAATCAATTGGTTGTGTGATTGTTTAGTTTTAGGTGCTTTTGTGTGAATTTTGATGATTACACGTGTGTTGTTGATTGGGTTTAATTTTAGGAAAATTAGTAAGTAACATAGGCTAAAAATTGGAATTTTAGAATGGCTTAAAACGTCTACTCATCTTCCTCAAGATGTCTGCCTCTTAAGCAAATTGCAAGACGCTGAGAGCAGGTTTCTGGAATTCTATCCGCTAGACGTCTACTCTAGTAATAATTTCAAAATCAAAATTTGACTCCAAAGAGTTAATCATTTTTTGGCTTAGTCAATCATTTTTTTTTCTTTCTTCAAGGAATGGAAAACAAATAAAGAATGAAAATATATGTTAAAAAATCTTTTTTGTGTAAAATATAAACAGTCACATATGATTTGTAAATTTTTTTCATCTTTAGCAATTTATTTATTTATTTATTTTTGGAATGGAAAACAAATAAAGAATGAAAATATATGTTAAAAAATCTTTTTTGTGTAAAATATAAACAGTCACATATGATTTGTAAATTTTTTTCATGTTCAGCAATCTGTTGTTAAGATACACTGCCACATCACCGACGTGTAAAAGGATTATGTATTTTACATAGCCTTTTTACACAATCACGTGAGCATATTTTCTCACTCCTCCCCCTTTTCCACTCGCGGTTCTATTTCTTTTATCTCATTTCTTTACTCCTCTTTGTTTTTCATTTTTAGAGCGCCATAGAAAAGAATTTGCAACTGGTGGCAAGGTAAGAAAGAATTGTTCGACCATCTTTTTTTTTTTTTTTTTTTAATAAAAATAGTTTGATTCATCACTTTTGTTTAATCTTATCTTTTGCAATCATCAGTAAATTGTAGGGTTTTTTTTTATAGATTTTTTATCCTTTTACATTATATTATAATGAGATAAATATGTACTAGCCAAACATTATATATATATATTTTAATCACGATTTTATATAATTGTTGTTTAATACAGTTATACAAATTAAATTTTTTTTTTTTTCTTTTTTGGTGATTAGTAATTCAATAGCAATTGTTGTTGCATATTTTTGGTTTCGTAATTTTTACATACTTGAATTTTATTTTATTATTTGTTATTAAGTTAGAAAGGTTTGCTATTGGGGGGATGGGAAAGTGAAATATAGGGGGAAATTATTATTTTTTTCCTAATTGAGGAGGATTGGGACGTGAAGTTTAATATAGAAAAAGTAAAGTGAATCGAGTAGGTTTCTAAAAGTTATGTAGGATCGGTTGGTTGTTATTGTGGATATTTTTTACACAAAAAGTATAAAACAATCGTTAGAGTTAAAAATAGATAGTACAAATTTTTTTGTGTAAATCGCAATTGTTGAAGATGCTCTAAGACCTTATAATTTAGTGGTACTTCATCTTTTAAAGTGGAACACCCATTATTCAAGTCCCATAAGAATAATTGTGATCAGTGTGTTTCTTAACAATAAAAAAATAATAAATAATAAGGAAGAATATAGGGGTCACAACTCTATATGGAATTTACACTTATATTTTAAGGAAGTAAACTGCTTTTCAATTTAAAAATATTTTCATTTAATGTCCATTCCATCATTTTGGTCCCTTTCTTTTGATTGGTAAGAAAAATTAAAGTTGGGATTAACAATACAGGTCATTTTTATAATAAATAAATAATCCAAGTTTTTCTACTTATGAAAGGACCATTTCATTCCCAAATTATTTTTTTTTTATAAAAAAATCACATTTCTAAAAAAAACTTTCATGTTTTAAGTCCAAAAACTACTTTCACATCACTTTCCACCATTATCACCACCACTATTGCATTTCACCAGTACCACCTCTACCACCACATCATCGTTGCCACCAATATCACCGCAGCCAACTTTCTCCATCGCCACTATCATTGCCGGTGCCTTCCACCGCTAGCACCTTCACGACCACTACCGCCTTCCACCATTGTAACTGCCACTACCATCACCGCTACCTTTCACTACCGTCATTGCCACCGGTGCTGCCTTTCACCACTGTCACTGTCGCCTCCTTTAACCAGCACCGCCACTGCCACGACCACACTATTGCCTTCCATTACCACGCACAGCTGCTATCGTTACCTTTCACCACCACCGCCATTTCTTTAAAAAAAAAATTATAGAATAGTGTTATTTTTTTAGTTTAATTTATTTGTCACTAGGAGGGAGGGGTACCTTGGAAAAATTAATTTAAAATTCATTATATTCTACTGTAGATATTAAATTGGTCCAACCAAACGTTAGAATGACTAAGATTATTCCATTACTACATCATTTCATATTTGCATCCAGACATAGACCATTTCATTCCCATCTACATTTCATTCCATTCTTGTGTACTAAACATAACCTTTCGTAAAATACTCATGTAAACTTGTAACCATTCCACTAAAACTCCTCTTTTTTAATTATTTATTTTTTACTTGTAGATGCACGGACAATAACAATTTTACAACCATATAATTTCGTGTTTGGGTTAGAATTAATTAGCATTTTGTGTGCGTGTGTGTATGTGTGTGAGAGAGAGAGCATATTATGTATGGTACATTTTAGAGAGTTTTTTGAATAATTACTTTGATGGATGAAATGAGTGGTTAGTGTTAAGTAGATATTATGCAGATGTCTACTTAACAAAATATTTGCCACATAACCAGAACTAGAAAGAGAAAAACCAGCACTACAATTCCTTCCTAAAACAAACAAACACCAAAATAAATGAAACTAATTAACCGGTGGCCAATGACACCCGTGACAGCTCGAGTCATCCCAATTCTCTCCCATTCACGGGCTCACAACTTTAGGTTCCTAACAATTAAAGCCCTTAGTACCCACCCAATATATAAGAAGCAATTATTCCACAAACATGTGATATAGTGAGCTATATATAGTGAAGTGACAAATAATACCCTATATATATATATATATATATATATATATATATAAAAGAAACAATTATCTAACAACCCACTCGTTATATCGAAAACAACCCACTCGTTATATAATGAAGTGTTACGTTTAAAGGATGTGGATATATTGTGTACCAAGGTCGATATTTTTTCTTTTCCTAGTTTCAGCTCATCTGACACAATGACGTGTGTATATTGTGTGCATGCAGATATAGAAGTTCAAAAGTTTGTTGCTGTAAGAAGTGGAGGCTTAAATCCTGCATTCGATAGGTGTTCATTAAAAGGATACCGGGACACTTTGTTTATGATTTCCGGCTAGAAAGTTTTCTACAGATGCAACCTCTTTGGAACCCTAGACTTCATCTTTGGTGATGTAGCCATCATGTTCTAGAATCTAGAATTGCAACATATACGGGAGAAATCCAGAGAATGAAGGAATTCTTGCAAGTCAGAGAACGAATATGAGAATTAAAATTATATTCGATATATTCACTCATGGTGTTACATTCAATTTATAGACTAAGACCTAGCTAAAATAGGTAACTAATTATACATTAATTGGGAAACTAATTACCTATCAACTAGCCTTAAATTAAGGAGTAAATAATTCAATCCTATAGCTGTACAATCTGTATAATTCCGGATAAAATCTCAACACTCTAAGTTGGTGCATAGATGTCACACATACCCAACTTGTCTAAATTTTTTGAAAACATTCGATTTGAAATTGTTTTGGTGAGAATGTCGGCTAGTTGATCCTCAGATCGAATTTTAGGCAACTCCACAATTTTTCCATCAAACTTCTCTTTAATGAAGAATCTGTCTATTTCGATATGCTTCGTACAATCATGTTGAACTGTATTATGGGCAATATCACATGCTGCTTTATTGTCACAATATAGTCGAATAGGTTGCCCAGGTAGATAACCCAAATCCCGCAAGAGAAGTCTTAACCATAATGCTTCACAAAGTCAAAGCGTCATACCTCTGAATTCAGCTTCTGCACTCGAACGAGCAACAACATTTTGTTTCTTGCTTCTCCATGTAACAAGATTACCTCTTACAAAAGTAAAGTAACAAGAAGTGGATTGTCTATCATCTATAGCTCCAGCCCAGTCAGCATCAGTATATGCATCTATGTTTTGATAACCAGCATTTTTAGTGAACAAAATTCCTTTTCCAGAAGCAGATTTCAGATACCTCAAAATGCGCATAATTGCATTCATATGTTGTTCTCCAG